ATGATGATGATGATGATGATGATGATGATGATGATGATGATGATGATTGTCTAATTAAACGACTAATGAGACGCAAATGTAACATTTATCCCCTACAAGGTGGAAAAAAGAAAGAAAATGAAACATACCACTCTCGATCCCAGTCTCTCCTGTTTGTCTTCTCCGAGAAAATGTGTCGAAAGAGATGGAGAGAAACGTTCGAGTCTCTCTCGTTTTCTCTCGATCCAATCTCAAATCCTGATCCAACACTGCATCGGTCACGATAAATATTGTACAATACTTTAACGATGCGCGTTCCTTTATTTATTTTTTACCAGTGGAATTCTCATCGTTTTCGCTGAATGAGACATACACTCACACACACGAATGGAGAAATGGACACTATTATCACAGTCGCCCGCCATTCGGATTATATATATACATAGTATATATATAAGTATATAAATATATATACTTTTTGTAATATGTCCTGCTGTAAAGACCGCTCCGCAGAGTGACTTAGGAAAAACTTTAGTTGCTACTTCTTTCCTTTCGTCTCGTTGTTTTTCCTATTTCTTTTGTAAAACGGCGCTTTTTTTTGTAACATACATAAGTTCGGTTTTGTAGAAGCGCGAAAGCTAGCCTCGCGATCCGCTCGGAAAGGGAAAAGTGAATTTAGGTTTTTTGCTACGGTTTTATACTCTTGGACGTGAACAAAAAAAAAAAAAAAATAAAGAAGAAGAAGAAGACTTCGTTTTTCCCCTTTGACGATTTGTAAACGTAGATAAGGACACCTGTATGTTGATGTTCAATGAATATTTAACCCGACTATTGTTACACTATTATTAAAAAAGAAGTTTTAAAAATACATTCCAATTTTTATTTTTCTCTCAGCTCTGGTTCTCTACATGTTGTACATACGTGTATCGAAATACCAACATCCTTCTCAAAGAAAAAGGTGTATCTCTTATCGACAGTATTTATATAATCTCGAAGAAGAGAGATTTATTACGAAGCGAAGAATGAATTATTTTTATCTTATCTTCCGGGGACAGAGCAGAGCGATCTTTTGTTATCCGTGTACATCGACGACACACATTCATTCTTTGTCATTGCGCGTGTATCCTATAATAAATGATTTAAATCTACAGTGTGCGTGTGTGTGAAAAGCTAAAGTTTTTCTGTTAACTCTGTTGTATACAGTGGCGCCTTGTTTGCTTAAATTCGTGCACCAGTGAATTTTTCGTTCGAAAATCGTTTTCAATTTTTGTGATTTTATTTGTAATTTTTCGTTTCTCGCCCTTGAAAGGGTGGTCTCTTTCTTCCAACTTTCATTATGTTTTACGCATATTTTATACGAAGTTTGTATATGATCGTCGACGATAATTTTTTCTTTTGTCTCGTCCGGTCGAGGAGAATATTCAGCGTTCGAATGCGAGCGTGTACCATTGTCTCGGCCTGTCGACAAAATGTACAGATTCGCTATTAACGTGGACTCTGTGTCCAAATGCGAGACGTTCGATCCGTTTCAATGATCTTCGTTCGTATTTTAGCTCTCGTTTTGTTCATTCTTGTTTTATACGAGCTTATTCGACTCTCGCCCCTTCCTCCAGTGGTAGAAAGACAACGAAAATCAACACTCCAAACTCGACGTTGAAATTTTGTCAGCGATGTACAGAATTTTATTCGAATAACGTATAGTAATACCAAGTACACGACGATTTATTCGCAACGTTTAATCGGTAACGGGTCCGTTTAATATAGGTAAATTGTTATTCAACTTGAATCATTATTTAATTCTAATTTTTATTTGTATTTGATTCTCTGATACTCGTTGTCTTGATACCATCCTCGTCATTTAAACGGTGATTCAAAAAACGAGAACTAAAATATGCAACGGAACGCAGCCGTGTCACGTTTCCGTTTTCGTCCCTCTATTTATTCCGGTTGTGTCTGCACCGTGTCTCCTTTCCTTAGACGTAAGAAAACTAATCCCTTATCCGATTGCAGCTTGTAATGTAACAACGTAAACGAACAACCGACACGTAAGAGTTATATATATATATAACTATATATATAACTATATATATAACTATATATATAACTATATATATATATATATACATGTGTATATATTTATACATACCGTACCATTAATGCAACACGAGAAATCTGACGAAATAAAGTTTACGTATGAACATTTGAATTACCTGAACGTATTGTTACCTGTACACTCCGAGACACCTCGTTCATGTTTGTGGCCGACGTTTCGAGTTCCGAACGTTTCCCAGCGAAACGTGGATCCATCGATCAATCATCCCCTCGCGTAGTTCATAGAATTTAATTTATTTCACGGTCTGTCTCGCGCATGGAAATAGAAACGTGAGGATTCGTCAAAGTACGAAAAATAGATCGATGTAATGGGCTATCAAGAGATTTCCCGTGTATTCCAATTTCTTTCAGACCAAAGTCCGAATAGACCGTCCCGTTTTATCTTTATTTTTCGTAGCGTCGAATCCTCGTCGGTCGAGATATACCGGACGGATGACGGAAAGAAGGAAGTTCAGAGTCCCCTGTTCACCTACACGCATGTTTATATGAACATTTATATACAAGCATACGTATATTCTATATGTATATACATATTGTACTACGCAATGTACCAACAATATCATTATCGTGACGGTGGACCACAGCGAAGAAAAGCTCAATGTATAGTAATGTATAGATTATTGTAGCGAGAAGAGGAGATTTTTTTAGGCACTGAGAAAGATGCGCTTATTACTTGGAAACTGCGCTTGCACCGATCGAGCGCAACGAAGAATAGTTCGAGTACATTAAGCAGAGCAATATTCGTCCACTGGAGTAAATAACGGGTTCACGGTGATGCGTATTAAAACCAAAGAATGCTCGGTTGATTTCACTATAAAAATAACTTGGAAATGTGTAGCGAAATATTTTCTGTTCGTGGTTGCTTCGTTTTCCAGGTGATTGATTCGGAAATATTACACGGAGCACGCGTACACCTGTCGATCGGAGATGGTCAAAATTTGATTCGAATAATAGGCAATAATTTTGCCCATCTCCGGTCTTGACGCCACGAATTTTACATTTCCGATTTATTTTTGTTTACGAGTCATCCTTTTTCCGGCCGTACCAAGAATTACAGGATAAACCTGTATGTCGCAGCAAAACTGTAACTAACAATTATAAGATTGAACGCGTCACGCGAACCTTTCGGTTTTATACACGTGTTCGAGTAAGAATTGTAATCGTCCTGTAAAGTATATACCATGGATCCTTTTGTACTGTGTCGACGCGACATCGATAGTAAGACATTCCATTTTGACCGCGTCTCGAGATTTACGTAAAATCGGACGTTGATCCGCGTGCGATCGTCCGCTCCGTGATTAGAAGATTCGTTTTCGATTTTCTACCGACCCTTTTACCGCGCTTCGTTTCAGCGAATGGTTTGCGACACCGATATCACCCTCGTAACGGAATTGTATAGAAAACAAAAATATATAAAAACAAAAATATTTAATAAACGATTTATGGATCATTCGAGTTTAGAATAAACCCATACCGTGAAAGAACAACTGATCGTGAACCGAGGCTAGGTTTAAATATCGATTGCCGTCTACCGCTTTAACCATTGAATTGCAAATTAACCATCACGCGTCCAACAAGGTGTATTTTTTCTCGTCTCGCCACGATTGCCATTGAAATTGATAAAACGAAAATGTCGTACTAACGTACGTATTTAAGGGGGTATTATCGTCTAAAAGTTTGTTTTTTTCAGTCATTTTTAGGAATTAATTTTGCGAAAACTATCAAACCTACAGTACCAGGGTTTTTTTTATGCATAATAAAACACGTTTCAACTAACAACACAAATTTTTATGAAATACTTCATTGAAATCTATACAAGTTATGCGCTGTTATGCAGCTTGTGGCGTGAGACGTTCGTTCAATCGGGCGCACTGGCTGTGACGGTTCTAGTTGTCTGAGACAGAAAAACAAATTCTTTTTCTCGATCTATATGAATGTAGTTATCGTCTGTACTAGAATTAAGTAAGTACTAAATTTTTTATCGGAATCGCAGCTGTTTGAAAATTAAGGTTTAATTTTCCCGGAAAACTGTCAACTAAAATATGAGACCAGGGCTAAAATATTCAAGCTATCGGTATAATTCCAGTTCAGACCATAGGCGACGATGCCCTCGAAATGTGTGTAAAACTAGAAGTCAGTCGGTCCAATAGTTTTTGAGAAAAACGTGCGCCCGACTTGAAAAATGTTGTTTCGAGAAAACGATGAACTAATACCGATGAACAGCCTTTCAGCTTCTGTAACTATGAGAGCTCTACGAATTTCAAATTAATATTTTAGAGGCACTTTCTCAAAATCCCAAATGATAAGAAAATGCAAAAGAAAAAATAATCGAATTTTTGAAGTTTTTAGACGATATAATACCCCCTTAACCGTACAAGTAAATAAGTTTGATCAGTACGAAAACACGCACTTTGTCGTTTTATTCAAGCGTTCAGGTACAATGGGTGTAGAAAGGATTCGTACATCGAATCAATTACCAAAAAAACTGTGTACAATTGTAATTTATTAACTTATTTTTTATATTCTCGGAAATTATTTCAACGAAAGAATAAAAAAAAGAAGTTGAGAAACTACAATTTCCCACAAAAGTTTACGCGCGACTAATATTTTGTCATTTGTTTAAACGAGATGTACGCTTGATACTTGTTCAAGAATTTCTTTGTTCGCGTTGAATGGGGAAACTTTCGATTCGTGTGCGCTGTTCATTCGGATTGTGACCAAACGATGCGTCATCGAGTTCACTTAGTCTCGAAAAAATGAATTAAGAGCGAATTCGATAACCAAAGCTACAACTTGAGTACGAATAATGATTCAGAATTCGATACGAGTAATGGTAGATGATCGACAAAAGCGATGGAACCCGAGAGAAGCATGTGCATGTGTCATCCACGATTCTTGTGCTGTTGTGCTTGACATGGCTTGGCACGCGTTGCCAAGATGGTGGTATTGGTGGTAGTAATGGAGGCACGACGACGCTAGTCCAACTTCTTTGCGTGTCATCGTCTCGCTTTGGTGTTTCTCTTTAATTCTTCCTTAGCTCCACGGATTCTCAGAGGGTGTTTGGCTTTCATGATGCACGTTGGTGTCGAGAAGCTGTTGATGATGTGTTAGTTGTGTATGGTTATGTGCAGTTGTGTGAATCGTCACGAAGAGATCGCTAGACGGTCGGTACATCTGTGAGATCGCTGGTGCGCCGTCCAAAAATAGACAAATGAACGAAGAGCGTGCCATCCTTGTCGGTGGTTCCACGCATTCTGTAACAATGCATAATTATTAAAAGGTTCGTGATCAACGCCAAATAGGAATGGAAGTGCTCAAAACCAGCCAGGAGATAGTGCACGAAGGATGGCTCATTAAGTCGCCACCCACAAAACTTTGGCGAGCGGTTAGTATTTCGTAATTGTGGCAAAAACAGAATTCTATCTATTCGTAAACTCCCCATTGTTTACGCTCTTGAACGGTTGTCAAAACCACCGTGTCCACATTCCGTCGTTCAACTGTTTCGAATTCTAACCTCGAATCTTGATAAAGTATTAGTCACTATTAAAATATCACACTATCACTATTATGATATTTACATTAACTTTTTCGAACAGCTTACTATTACAATTAATATGCTTTATCGAGTGTGTTTTTATTAATTTGCAATGTTTGTTCAATTTCAGCGATGGAGGAAGAGATGGTTTGCTCTTCGACATAGCGGAGAGTTACCTGGACAGTACTTTTTAGAATATTATACGGACAGACCTTGTAGAAAGTTGAAAGGTCGTATCGACCTTGATCAATGCGAACAGGTAGGTTTTGAATTTGAAATGTTTCTTTTATTTGTAGTACATGTAATCAGAAGTTACCTATCTTCATTTATAGGTAGATGCAGGATTAAGATTCGAGAACCGAAAACAAAAGTATCAATACATGTTCAATGTTAAGACACCAAAAAGGACGTACTATTTAGTGGCAGAAAGCGAAGCTGACATGAATAAATGGGTAGATGCAGTTTGTCAAGTATGCGGTTTGAAGGCATACACGCAAGACGAAGAACAACAATGTCAAAGTACGTATTATCGTTATGTAATGTACTTAGTTATAATTTTATCTGAAATTACAAAATTTATTTGTAGTGTTCCAGTTTGAAACGCAAGAATCCCCACCAATTTCACCTACTAGCACTATTTCTGGTCCTTACATTCCTATCAGCGAATGCATTTCTGGTCGTCGTTTAAATGACACAAGTTCTCTTAATTCTACACTTGGTCAAGGACCTGAACATTACGATGCCCCGAGACGATTAGCCCCTTCTCCGCCTAGATCTCCAACTACGACCGACGCGGAAAGTGTCTTTACCGATGACGAATGGTCTGCTCCTGTCCCTAGCGTTAACTGGGATACGTTTCCTTCGGGTAATTATTTACTGTCATTTATTTTTGTTTTGAGCAAATACATAACTTGAACATTTTATGGTAGGTGAATCGAAACAACCGCAAAGTTCAGGCGATGCCGAGATTGGTTCTTGGAGTGTTAGAAAACGATTTGGGAAGTTGAGAATCGTTGATTCTGCTGTACTACCTTCTGTGGAGAAGTTACCAGCACCTCCTAGACCACCGAAACCTCCGCATATGTTACCTGAAAATCCTGGTCATAATTATTTAAATTTAGATGGCGCTACCGAAAGCTCAAAACCTACTACTCCGGCCACACCTGCACCATCGACACCCGCGACTGCAATCGTAACAGACGAATCCTATGATTTTCCGAGATCTCATCAACCTGGTCAAGTACTCGATCCAAATCCGATCGATCGATCGTCTAAACATTTTTACTCGAACGCCGCCCCTAGTACTGTCGAAGAAACGCGCGTGTTCCGATACGACTTTCAAGAAGATGAACCATCGAGTCCTCGCTCCGAAAGTTCGACAACTGCTACGTATTCAAATTTACCGAGTCCACTTGTCCGAGATAATTCAACTTCTGTGCCAACGACAATGGCACCGCCACCACCAGTTGTTTACCGGGAATTAAAACCAGGAAGAAAAACTAGCGACTCCACATCAATTATTAGTAATGAACCTTCACCAGGACCAATAGTGCCAGCTCTGGAAATAAGTTCTGCTGAACATTCGCCTGCTGAACCACCGAGTATTAATAGAAAGCTCAAACCATCTTTAAACAAATCTCCGGTGGAAAGTACAGGTATCTACATGTTCGTTTCTACGTTACATCCAATTTTGAACAGAAATATTTAAATGAAAATTCAACGGTGTTCCAGGACCTCTACAATTAGCTTCTCCCCCTGGAAGAGGAAGAATAAGAGCAGCCCCTAGTCCAACGCCTCCGAGTCATGTACATTCAAATCGACACCAGTCAACATCGGATGAAGATAACAACGCTTTCGATGACAAAGAAGAGGTTTGTAAGAATATTATCTATGTATTTTATATCGGCTTTAATAATACTATTCCGTCGATGTTATTTCATTTCGATACAATTTTTGTTTCAGATATACTACTATCAAGATCAAAATACGTTCATTCCTGCTTCAAATCGGAGTCTTGTTGTTTTGCAATATTTAGATCTTGATTTAGAAGCAACAGAAAGTTTTACATCTTCGAGTTTACCACCAACTCAATCTCCGCCAAATACAACGGTATACAAAACAGTGGATTTCTTAAAAACTGAAGCATTTAATCGTACCCGTCAACGAGTCGAAGAAGAAAGAAAACAATGCACGGACGAACTTGCTTAGCGTAAGCTTTTGCCTTTGTTTTGTATTTTCTTTGCTATATGAATCATCAAAGAGAGAAAGCAGAAGATTCGCAAACAGTTTTAAGTAGTGTATAGTACTGTTACTATTTTACTAGCACTTTACGACATTACAAGGCTGCGACACGTACGCAGTACTTAGCGACTCTTCCGATGCTTTTTAAATTTTTATGTTTGTTATTAAGTCGAAGGTGATTACATATCTTCGTTATCAATGATATACGACTAGTTGGAAACCGAAGAGATAGCAATATTCAATGGACCAAAAATGTAATGTTAAAGTTAAGGGAAAACGATCATGAGACGATAAAAAAGGTCTTTTGCGTGACTTGATGTATTACAATTTGTTAAAGAATTTTTAATTAGAAAAGTAAGTATTATTACATGTAGGTACGGTTACTGTTTTTATATAGGTTTTACATATAACTAATACGTGAAAGAGGCATTTTTATTATCGACCATACAACGAATTACGTACGTATGGTATTGCTGAAATTTTTAGATATCCTAATTTTAACTATTAAACAAATAATATCTAATATATTTTCGATGTGCCTGAATTTATTGTTTTTTTTTCCTGAGGTGATGAGTTGTTTGTTATTGCATGGACGAACAGTAGGATATCATATTTATAAACTACGAATATGATGGACGGATAGAAATTATTTCACAATTACCCTTGAAAAAATATTAAGTATTTTCGTTTATATTGGTTTTTATAGTCTTTAATGAAAACCGTTGATATAATTATTTATGTCTTACGCTATATCAATTAAATTATATTTTTATTGTTATCTATTTTCTCTTCTTTTTGTGGCGTTATAAGGCAGGTTTTTTTAAATGTATAATTTATATTTAACTATTAACAGTGCGATCGCTGTACCTGCTGCCATGGGTTACTAACGTATGGTAATCAGAAATCCTGGTCACAAAATCGTAACTATTACAACACAAAATCACATGCCATAGTTAGACGTGTATACATACGCAGCAAAAGTACAGGAAAATATATTTTATGTATAAAAAAAAGTGTATACATATACGACAATACATATATGTATACAATTTTATTTTTATAATGACTGTATTGTAATTTCCTTACCATAATGGAATTTCAACATTATTGGAAAATTATTTGTCTTAATATTTGTACGAGTTCAAATAAGTACCGATCTATAATATATTTCATTGCTGGGGTTTCAAGATATCCTTTACTAAATGTAGACTGATCGAAAACAAAGGAACGAGTAGAATAGTTTCAGGGTACAAGTTATAATTTCTTATAAGTAGGTGTTATCGTAAAACAAATCATATCACGATAACGCGAGAAATTAATTTTTAAATAAATAATTTTTACGACTATTAATGGTCAGCGAGATTTAATTGTAGATTTAATAAAACTTGACTTTTCGTACAAATAGTTGAAAGTACCGTACATTACATCTACATTCGCTCGATTTTTTCATGATATATATCGATGATACTTTTCAACAAACGGCACCCAACTTCATATTTTTAAAAAGTAGACAAAAATTTACAAATGTTTTATTGAAAAATGTGAAATAAGACTCTTCGAAAGTAAAAAACGTATTTATTACAAGTATTTGTTCAACTGAATAAATTAATGTATGGTATTTCCATTGTTATCTATTATTCAAATAAAAGTTTAAATTCCATTATCTTTAGTTGATAAAGTATGCTCTGTTACCGACACGGTCGATGCAAGGTCGTAGAATGTTCACGCAAATGCTGCCAGGGTTATTGGCCTGCGTGGCGCTCGGTGGTAAAGGTGAGGGTAAGGGTAGGGGTAGGAGTAGGGGTCGACAGCAAACAGAACCTCATTCGGCCGCTAACCATCTACCGTGCGTGTAGTGTCATTCGTTCGTGTTTGTCGTTTACATTGTTTTCCTTCGTCGTGAAACAGAACTGTATCGCGTACAAAGTAATTCGCGTCGCGGTAAATACTTTTTGTGTTTTCTTCTTATTTGTGTTGAACCTGTGAACTGTTGAATTATTTGTGTTTCACTTGTCAACTGTTACCGTAAAGTGTGATCGTCTCCTTGTGCAATTGTCCTGTTTCTACTCAGAATCGGAATTCAACTGGACGAACTGGAAGACGACATCGAAAACAATCGCAACAGCATTTCCAGTTTCGCTTTCAAGGTAAGCTTGTGTGAACGTTGTACGCGTACCGTGCACCGAAATTCGAGTTCCACGTGATGACTGATTTGCCAGCCACTTGTTGGTCGATGAGATCCTCGGGAAATGACGATTACTAGATTTTAACATTGACGTAATTTTATGGGTGTTTCGAACGTTCGGGTAATACGATTCGAGATTCAGTTACGTACGTTCGAAATCTCTTTACATAAGGAACGATCTATCGAAACGCGTCTCACACAACGTGGGGAGTGGACCTGTTACGCTCGGTCGTTGTACGAATTAAAATATCCGAGTCATTTTGTCGTCACGTTCCATGCGTTAAGCTACGTTTCTTTGAGAGACAAAGATTTATCTAAAAGCTGTGCTTACAATTAGTGCAGCGTTCGCGCCGTACAGGTTTCTCGGCCACTTGTGGATTTTCAAGCTAGCCAGCTGAATCATTCGCGTTACAGTTTCTAACCCTTCCTGTCGATGCCGCGTGACATTCCCAACGAATATTTAGAGTAATGTCAGCTTCCGAAAAAATTTTATTAGAATAATGAACAACGCATAAAACTAGCGTGTTTCGATTCATTCGATCGAACAGTAACATGTTTCAAAGTGTATTTTTTATTCAAAGTTTTTCACCAATCTACTTCGGTCACTTTTTTCGTACCTGCATCTATTATATTTTTATTAAGCGAGGTTGGCAACACTTGCGTTCAGTTGCGTCTAGCGACCCATCGAAATTGTTGACGAAGGAAATGCAAGTATTAGGTTGTCCCAAAAGTTTCTTTCGCGAGTTGCATTCAATTATTTTCTGTGGCAGTGTTTATATGAATAGACAATCTAATTTCTTAGACATTGATGCTGTAACAGTAACGAAGCGAAATAAATCTGTAATTATAGAGAACAGGTACATCCTCACCGATTTCGATGATTTTTAAATATGTTGTAGAAATCAACATTTTGAACAACTTTTTCCTATACATATAACCGTCGCTCGACCTTAGTTTCCGAGATATTTGCACTCTTTGTTCAATTAAAAAATAAATTAGTGTATGATATCTACCGCATATAGTCAAATATTCAGGCAAGTTTATTTTTAATCCTTTGAAAGTAATTCGTTCAGTAACGACGTCAGTGTCAAATCAGAGTTTTTCTGAGCCTAAACAATCGCGTATTTTTTGCAATTTTGCAAATATTAACAAGTTGTTCAAAATGTTGACTTCTACAAGATATTTAAAAATCATCAAAATCGGCGAGGATGTAACTGTTCTCTATAATTACCAATAAATCGTACACAATTCAGTAATGTAACATAAAACATAAAATATCGTGTATATATTAATTATCAATAAAACGAAAGAAACTTTCGGGACAACCTAATATATTTCTTTTTCCAACGGTGAACTGTCAACGATGATTTCCTCGAGTTGGAGTTCTTTCGTTAAGAGAGCTCCAGCTATTTCGTCAGTCGAACAATGTTTACGGTTTTCCCTTGTACATGCAACGCCAGCTCGTTATGCATCCACATTGTTGTTGCGTTATTGGCGGTTATATTGCGAAGCGCGCCGGAGTAAGTGAGAAATTCTCATGCACAATAACGATCATTATCGGTAACGCTCTTCGGTGCGAGCGTAATATACACAGCGCGTGCATTCTTTGGTGAGCTTTCGTAACACCACCACGATGGATAAATTGAACTTCGATCGTTCCGTAACTATTCTCCTTTTTTTTAGATATTCACACGTGGCTCTTATCTATTTGACACGGAACAAAACATAGTATTTAGGGTCAGCGAATGTCCATTTTGTTTACTTTACGAGTGTCGTTATTTATTATTCGGTTACTTTGCACTTTGCATACTCAACACGTTGGCTGCCAAGCTGAATCTCGTGAAAATTGTTATAAAGTTAAAATTTCGTCTCGAGACTATTGGAAATTAGATTATTTAACATCTGTCGTAGTATTTATTTTTTTAACGTCGTCACATTCACGAATCCTGTCCAGAATTATTTTCATTATTGTCTCACCTTTGAAATTCATTTTTTTAGTTCCTTAATAAAGAGTCCTGTCACCCATTTCTGGATGACGTGGCTACCAACGTGTTAAGGGGGTATCCTGAATTAGTAGGTCTACAAAAAAGCGGTTTTCCATGAATTTTTTTTTTTGTAGTATGGAAGAAAATAAATAATTCTATCGAACTTTTTATTCTATTGTCATACGTATTTGAGTAGTCTGTAGACATTTTTTCAAACAAGAAATATTCAAATTGAGTCGACTGTGACGCACATTTGTAGTGCACGTCGCAATTAAAACCTTCTGTCGGTCGGAAAGATGCGGGTCGTAATTTTGGTTTGACACAAAAAAAAAAAAAAACCAAAAGAAACTTTCATTTTCATACATTTCTCTTCTACGTGAACTAAGAAAAACCCGCAAAAATGGTGAAATGTGAAATTACTGCAAGTTCGAAAAAAAGAACGAGTTCTTTGGGTGAAAGAAATCGCTTCAACTTGATAAAAAAGTTGTTTAAAAATTCTTTTTTATGAATTTTTTTAGTTTACATAGAAGAAAAATGTATGAAAATGAACATTTCTATTGATTTTGTAAATGCTAAAAATAGCGTTAAAACGATTCGTCTCCATCTTTGATGTTCAAGAAAATCGATCGAGCTGTTTCAAAACGAAACATTTTGAGAGCCAGCTAGATCAAAGATTCGTTTTCAGTTATCTCGCTTTCGATTGGTTCGATTAGAACGAAAGAACAAATTTGAACGCGATGATGAAATCCCTGAAAATAGATCGGTCCCGAAACCAGCCGCTCCTATGAATCCCATTACGTAGCAGCTAGATAGCCGAGGTCCATTCGAATGAAAAAGCGGCTTCTTTCGATATTGGTTTCCTTTTGGTGGGTCGCGACCTTCTCGTTATCTTGCCATAATACCGAAGACGTGTGCCACTGCTACGCTGATACTTTTGTCAAAGCAGTTCGCTCAAGTTCAGCATTTTCTTTATACCTCGACCAGCAGAATGACCCGCCGACACATTATTGCGCGGTTCTTTCGGTACGAAAGTATTCAGTTAACCGTAACAATGAGATTCGAACACTCGGATCTCATTCCGACTTTGTTTGCCGTCAAATCTTTTCTTTTTCTTTTTCTTTTTTTTTTATTTCGATATTTAACAAAATGCGATAAGTTTTGTTCTCCCTCGAGAGATCTTATTCCAAGGCAATACAACTTTTAATCTTTTACTTTCCCGCGCGTAGTTCCGTGGTTACGAGTCTTCTTATTGGGAATCGTCGAGGTTTCCTTAGCTTTTCCGACGCATTCCGGCTTTTGTGCCGCGTTTTCTTAGGACCGGTTTACGTGTATCTTTCAGGGCTGCAGGTACATCGACCCGTAAAATCCACCACCCACGCTACCTGCGGGATTTATTTCTGGTACACTCCCTCGTGACGTTCACGAAACGGAGACTTCTTAATTTCCATTCATGCATAGGCAATGTTTTAGGGGATCTTCCACTCTGAACATTTCGCTTGTTACCGTGACGTCGCTCTTTCCACAATTTTCGCTGTTCGAATAGCATTTTAGAATTCAACGAGAATGATTCATTTCTGTGTTTACCGTATTGTTTGATCCTTGAACAAAATTGATCTTTTGCACCAGAGACGAAGCTCGCCGCGACGTCGCGGTTTTCTTTCGATTTCGCTCGTTAACTGGCCATTGCCTTTGGAAAACGACGTGGTCGATAGGTGGTGCAATTAGTCGACCAAACATTGCAATTGATGGCTACGATTAAGCGTTGTTTGTACCAGCTCGTTCGTACATCGTTACTTGGACCGTTTGAAACGATGGCTCTGCAATTTGTCGGATCGAGTTCCACTCTAATTGTACGATTTGTTTCAACGATGCTTACGCAACGTTACGCATTTTCATCGTGCGTCTCTGTTTCAACTTTAATTCTCGTTTCACTCTTCGAGGAGAACGATACCTTGTCGATGCGTGACATTTCAAAACGGTTAGCTCGTTCGGTCTGATTCCCTGTAGATCCGAGGCGCCCGCGCTTATAGGGCAGGACGCGCCTAAACCAGGTCGATCCGGGATATAATTCTTCTCTCGGTTTTCTGTCTAACGCAATAAACCGCATACGTGTTGTGTGCGTGCGTGTGTATGTCGCAGGGAAATGATAAAAATAGAGATTTGATGAAATCCCT